CCAACAAGCGGGACTGGCCTAGGATAATTTTTAAGAGGGGTTTTTAGAGGGGTTTTTAATTACTTTTTAATTAGACAATTTAAATATTTCATTTTAATTAATTTTAACTTGTGATTGTTAGTGGTGTTTTTAATTGATTGTCAGCCGCCCTGAGTCCGCAAGGAGAAGGGCGGGATATAAATTCAAATAATAAATAAATTAATTAAATGGACAGGCAACAACTCTTTTTCTAATTCTTCTGTTTATTATAAAGAACTTGTATATTTTAGCTGCTGGTTTCTGCTACAATTATTTTGCCTTTGTATGCTAATAACTGAAATTCATATTTTTTCTCATACTCTGAGCATTATTGGATAGTCAAATAAAAGTTATAAACTGCCAGTGTTCATTCTGATTTTTCAATACTTCGTTAGATGAAAATACAGCACTATTCTTGTTTTCCTCTAAAGTGTAGAAACTATTATCTGAGGTCTTTATATTAGATCTTAGGATTCAGTTTGAAATCTTATTAAAGGTTATCATATTTCAGCTAAACACAATTTACTACTCTGTGAAATGCAACTGATTTCATGTCAGCAGTTCAACATCCAGATAATTCAGACCATGACTCCAGAAACAAATATAGGATCACAGTGTTGGAAGGACTTCCAAGGTCTTAGTCTAACCCCCTGCCCGAGGCAGAAGTCCTCATTCCATCTCAGACAAAATGGTCATCCAATCTTTTTTTGAAAGCCTCCAAGCGATGGAGCACCCAAATTCCAGGAGGCAAGCTGTTCCATTGCTTAATCATTCTCACTGTCAGGAAATTTCTCCTTATTTCCAGGTTGAATCTCCCTTTCTGAGGAGCTTTTATTCATTGCTTCTTATTCTAGCCTCAGGTGCTATGGAGAATAAGTCAACACCCTCCCCTCAGTCTTTGTTAAGGTAAACATAGTTATTTCCTTTATCCATTCTTCATAGGAATTAGCCTCCAGCCGCCCTCTTACCATATTTGTTGCTCTTTTCACTTTTTCTAGGGCCTCAGCATCTTTTTTGTATTGTGACCAGAACTGGATGCAGTATTCTCTGGGGGTCTCACTAATGCTAAATAGACCAGTACTCTCATTTACCTTGACCCTGATACTATCCCTTGATTGGTGCAGCCCAGGATAAAGCAGCCTTTTTGGTAGCTGCAGCACACTGCTGATTCATAATTAAGCAATAGTCCACCAGGACACCTAAATCTTTCTCATTGACTTTATTGTTGAACCAATTACTGCCTATTATGTACTTATGCACCTGACAGACTTGAACACTGGGCGCTATCTAACAAAATGAAATTCAATGGTGAAAAAAGTAAGGTTCTACATTTAGGCAAGAAA